GCCAGCCCTACAACTGGAGACTAAGACTAAGGTTGGTGATTTCTGCCTGCGGATATGGACAGGTCTAGCCTCTAGGTATGAGAAGCGTCCGGCCTGTCCCACCTTCTGCCAAGGAATGATGGCGGCCGGGTTCTAGACGGCTGGCGCCTAGAGTCTAAGGTAAGGTAGTGTAGTGTACGTACCCGTGGGAGTCCTGGTTACGGATTACGATACGTACCTATTGTAAGGTAGCCTCAGAGTACCCAAGGTACATTTCCCTGAACGACTGAGCATGTCAGCCATTAACTCTTTTTTGGAGGGCAACAACGAACAATTAAGCTTCATTGGTCGTCGTCCGATGCTGGGCTGTCAAGATTGTGTTTGGCAGGGGACTGCCTGCCTGCCCTGTGGGCTACCTTCCGTTGGTTAGCCCGTGGGGCGGTGTTCCGTTAGTCTGTGCTTTAGTTGCTTCCACAAACCGCAGCAGCTTTCCCCACTGGACCTCACTTCATCATCCCGTCACTCACTCAACACTACCTCCACCACCATCTGTCTGCGGCCTACAGCCTGATCACCACCTCATGTCAAGGAGGTACGGCTCGCGACGTTCCTATCCATCAGCGAACGCATCATCGTATCGGAATTGATCGATCCATGATCAGGTCCATCTATTGGTGCCCTTGAATGATCAAGATCGATCATCGAAAGAAAAATGTGCGAAAAGAAACATGCAATTGTTGGCCTTTTCCCGCATTGAGCGCATGAAAGGAAAACGTTGGCCTCAGTCAACAAACAATCATCACCAATGTCACGAATGAATCGCGTTCCAGTCGCGGGGTGACTCATGACGCGAGTTTCAACTCCTGCGTTCTGAGTCCTCCCCTCTCCTTCCCCCATGACCTTCCCTCCGTCTGCGAGGTGGGGTCTTTCGTGATGGCCTCACAGTAGCCTACACACGACGATCACTTTGCTCCCACGATCATGGCGAAGCTATTGGCCGCGAGCTTAGGAATGCAAAAAGGCGATACGCACATCATCATCCTGGAGATCGGACGAGGGAACAAAGAAACAGGTTCGGAGGCGCAGACATACATCGACGCAAAACGCAAAACGTAGATGCAGACGCAGACGCAGAAAGGGCCCACAGGAAAGGACCGCACAGCGCCAAGAGGAAACCCGTTGACCGTTGACCCGTTGACCCGTTGACGTCCTCATGTTTTGTTGTGCGCAACGGCGATATTCTCTGGCGGCGGAGGAGCTCCGTCTGCGGCAGGCCCCTCACTTGAGGCCTCAGTAGTGAGGACTCTGGACTGCGTGCTGCGCGCTGCGAGCTGCGTCCTGACCTCACCTCACCTTACGGTGCTGCGACTCCATTCGACTAGCGATGCACGCAAACAAGAGCTTCGCCCTCTCCCCTTGGTTCCTCTGGTGTCCCTCTGGTGCTGCAAAAGCAAAATGCGGGAGGCCAAACCGCTGTATGAACAACGCAGCGGCAGCGCAGCCTGCCTCGGGAAAGGGAGAGACTGAGTGAGACGTGGGTTGGGCGAACCAATCTCCCGGGTACGCAGGCGTGGCAGGCCGCATTTGCGAACCATTCCGGAGGCACATTGGCACACACAAAAACGACAGACACACGGGAAAATAAGGCGTCCCACAAGAAAATCCAGCAAAACGAGGCAACGGGGGAAAAGTGCATTTCTGCCTTGTGGGCTTGTTGGCCCTGCTGGCACCTGCACCGCCCATCTGCCAGAAGTTCGCCAATGAGAGCAACGGCTGCCACCGAGAAATTTCGTCAACTAAACTTGAGCAATGCCCCCCCTTTTTTGGTCTGTCAGACTCTGTCTGGCTGGGTTGAGGTGGGCTGTGGTTGGCTCAAGGGGACCATCTTGAGAACAGTCAGCAGAAATGGGAGTTGATTCCTGGTCAACCTCTTTTTCCACTTTGCTTTCTGGCTTCTAGTCCACCGGACGGACTCACTCTCTCACCACTGGATTGTCACTGCCACTGTCACTGTCGAGTCTCTTCCCGAGTCCCGCTCCCCTCTTTCTCCCGTCCCCGTTCCCATCCACACACTCTTCTTGTCCAAATACCCCTGTCCGTGTTCCCCCCTTTCGTCCCCTTGTACGGTACCACAGCCCAGTCCCAGTCTCTCCCGTCATGACATCCCTGCCCAAAGGGTGAACCCGCGATTCCGCCGTCCGTCCTGCCTAGCGAACTGCTGCGGGTACGGAGTAGGAGAAGGATGGAAGGCTTGAGGTGTGCGAGTGAGCCTGTGAGGTGAGGGGATTTGGGGACCCGCGATGACTCTTCCTACTCACCTCACCTCGGACACACGCACTCATCCACGCACTGCGCAAGTGCAGCAGTCGCAAAAGTCTGCATGGAGCCAAGAGGCAACCAAACTGGGCTAAGCAGCTCCAGCCCTACATGGCCACTACCGAAGGAATACTTTTGGAATGTTGCTAATCTCCTTGTGCCTCGGAGCATCCAAGAGTTCCCTCTTCCGTACCCTACGCAGTACTTGCCTTACATACCCTACCTTGTTACCAATGTACCCGTTCCCGTACCCTATGCCCATGGCATGGACATGTCGATGTACGGTATGTATTGAGCAGTTAAGGTAGGTATTCCAGTGTGGCTACGTACCCGGTTGCGGTTGCGGTTGTGGTTACAGGGGTCAGGTATTCGTACATTTCTCCCTTTGCATCGCAACTTTGCTGTCTGCCTCTCTTAGCTCCGGAGGCAGCAATGCAATCCACTGCCAGTCACCCACACCAAATCCCATCTGTCATTCTCCCTCCGCCTCCGGCTGCGACTTTTCCCCTCCGTCAAGGCTGCAATACCTGCTTTTACAAATCTGGATAAATAAAATGTCAAAAGACGCCGCTTCTGCCTTTTTCTCCCCCCTCCCTATTCATCCCTCAGTTAGTACCTGACCTGCTCATTTCAGGGTGCGGCTATTATTTTCTCTATCCCAGACCAAAATAACACCCGGTCCCATCTTGGGCAGCATTCAACCCCTTATATACCCGACTTGACTCATCTCGACAAGGCACACACATACGACAAGTATTAACCCGCGCCTACCACCACACCACCCACATTGAAATTCAAAAAATTTCAATTCTACTCTTTCCAAATACACACATCACAATCGGATCGCTCACAACGGACATTTCGCTCTCACTTTCGTCGCGCCTGTCTACGGCGAAAAGGCTCCTTGCCTTGGACATTGGTTCACACCGTCAACTCACAACCCTACCGTTGATCGACAATTCCCCGGCCGCCCAGCGCCGCCCAATAACCACCAACCATGTCGTCCGCCAACAAAAAAGAGGCTCGCGTCACCTTCCAGACCTCAAAGGGCCACCGCCACCAATCGAGCGACTCTAGCATCTCCGTAATCAGCTCAAGCCCTTCCGCCCAGGACTACTTCGACCTTGAGATGAAGTACAATAAGCTGCTGGACGATATGTCACGACTCAAGAGCGAGACCAAAGCTCGCTACGCTGCCCTGGAGAACAATATTGAAGTTCTCAAGATCGACAAGAAAGCCTGGGAGCGCGAAAAGGAAAACTTGCGCACCGAAAACCAGGTTCTACGGGAGGATCTCCGCAAGGCACAACGCCACAGCCCCTCTCGAGAGTCGACAAAGATGTCGGGCGCACTTCCCAGCCAACCGCCCTCTCCAAGAGAACACAAGGAGAGAGAGCATAGGGAGCCCAGAGAGTACAGGGAGCCCAGAGAACACAAGGAGCCCAGAGAACACAAGGAACCCAAGGAATCAAAGGCTTTGCGTCGCAGCGACTCCAAGCACCGCACCCGCGGGGAGAGCAAAGTTCGCAAGCCCACAGAGGACAAGGAGCTTGCGAAGCGCTGCAAGGAAGACAAGGAGCGCCTCGGCCGCCGCTTCGAGCACAAGGACGACAAGAGCACCTCCAGCGGAAGCTCGAGGGGCAGCAAGCAGGGCAGCTACATTGAGCCCATGGGCCCCAGCGCTCCTCGGCCCGCTTCCATCGTGGAGCCGACCCGTCCCCGTACCAAGCGCTCCGAGTCTACGTCGTACGCCATAAGACCTACCGTCCTCACGACCACAACTGTCACCGATTCACCTTACGACCAGCGCACTCCAGGCTACCCAGACCACGAGAGTCCCTTCAGCTATGAAGGTAGTGCATATGGCCATGGCCATTCGCCATACGTTGAGGATGGAAGCTATTACGCACACCCTCTACCAGAGACCACCCGCGGGAGGTCGCGTCGGTAAAGCATCCGACACAAGCAAGCAAGAAGCAACAAAAAAAAAATTGGCCAAGCCCTGTGTGACACACCACCAGCAGGCAATGGTGGTGTTTTTTCTTCTGCTTCGCTGCGGGAAAATACGTTTACGATACTCTGCATTCAGCCACATGAAATTCTTCATCCCTGGCAAACGCAGCCTCCAACCGATAAGGCGGTGCGGGGAGAGAGGAGGCTTGAAAAGCGCCCTTTTTCTGCATCCTTTCTCCAAGACGGAATGGGCGCTTTGAGGCGACCGCTGGACCCCCGCACCCGCACCGAGTCCGGGCGCAACGACTTACTTGAGAGTTGAGACGCCAGCCGGTTGACGCAATTAGTCGGTTGACTCATCCTCGATGACATTCTTCGGCGAACTTGGCCGTTTCCCGAGGCCAATTGTTTATTTCAAGAGACGGAAATCCGCCTCCTCCTCAAAAAGTTTTTGGTTTTGGTTTTCTTTTTTCTTTCTTTTCCGTATTGCTCAGTCATGTATCAAATCCTGTACTAGCTCTCTCATGTCAACAACTCGATACCCAATACCCAATACCCTTTCATGTTTTCCACGATATATCATTATCTATATACCTGAGTGTCATCCGAGGTCATCACATCGTTTCATCAATTGACGTCAATTGACGATATCCCAAATATAAAATAAAATCTTTTAAAACAAACAAACAATCGTCCCAATCCATATGAATTACTAGTATCCATTAAAACATACATCAATCCCCACCGCCACAATGAAGCTGTACCCCTCCATCAACCCCGACCTCGCCGACTGGGCCGCCCGCCAGCCTGTCTTCTTCACGGCCTCGGCCCCAACCCACCACCCCCACATCAACGTCTCCCCCAAGGGCCTCTCCGCCCACTTCGCCGTCCTCTCGCCCAACCTCGTCGCCTACATTGACCGCACCGGCTCCGGGTGCGAGACGATCGCCCACAGCTACGAGAATGGCCGGTTGACGCTCATGTTCATGTCGTTTGGGCCCGCTCCGCGTATCCTGCGTCTGTTTTGCAAGAGTAGGATCGTCGAGTGGGATCATCCGGACTTTGACAAGTGGATGAAGCGTGTTATCCCGCAGGATGAGGCCGGCGGTGTCAATAATAGAGATTCATATGATGGGGCTAGGGCTGTTGTTATTGGCGAGGTGTGGGAGGTGCAGACGAGCTGCGGGTATGGTGTGCCCATGGTGAGGAAGGAGCTTTATGCGCCTGCCACGGCGTCGGAGGATGGGACGCTTGAGAAGGCGACACAGCAGCAGCGCGACATAATCGATACCACCGGAAAGGAGACGACGACGACGACGACGACGACAAAGAGAGACGAACTCTCCGTCTTTGAAGAGCGTCCCACCCTCGACTACTACTGGAAGAAACGCGTCGACAACAACACCGTCAACACCTACCAGGTCGAGACGAACCGCACCTCCATCGACGGGTTACCCGGCTTGAAGGCAGCGAGGCGGGATGCCGGGGAGACGCTCTGGATCGCGGATGCGAGGGCGGAGGTGTTGCGTGCGGCGAGGGAGACGAGGGGTGTTGTGTTGGGGGTTTTGATCGCTGTTTTGGTATATTTTGTCACTGGGGTGGTGGATGGGTTGGTTGTGAAGGCGAGGGAGGGGAGGGAGCATAATTGGATTTGGCCTAATTGAGGTTGGGGTGGTTTTATTTTTCTTCTGGATAGAAATTATTGGTCTTGGAGATTGCTTAAGTTTGGCTTTTAAAATGGTAGACGACAGGAAGTAGGTAATACAAAATGCAAGCTTGCTGTTTTGGCAATGAACATTGGGGCATCCGTTGTCAATTGTGAAGCTATCGCGACATCCCAGCGGCAGACTGAGAAAGAATTGTGTGAGAAGGCAGAGAATTGGACCATAGTTACCCGACGTCCACATCATAGATTGGAAATCTTAGTAAACTCGAAATTTTCGATTCTGTCTGTCCTATTCGGATAATCTCTACTTCATTCTCATACTCTTCAACCACTCGTGACGCACTCTCCCAGGCCCAAGATGCGCGCTTACGACGGCCAACCACCAGCGACTGACTACCTCCTCCCGCCAACCCCCTTTGCGCAGATCGCACCCGACACCACCTCCTCTGCAATGCACAATGCTGCTGGTATCGGCGGGTGATATCGTCAAAGAATAATCGATATTGTGGATGGCGCGGGGAGGAGGGTAAACTGCATCCAGCGAACCGGGTGTTGCGTCGCCCATATTCCGTCCCTCTTCATCGCATCGTGGCCCTCACTCATTAGGCCCGTTGGGCAGAAACGCAGGTAGTGCGCAGGTACGCAATAGCACACCCGCCTATTGCCTATACTTGCTGACCCTTCCCGCACCTGCGCACCCGCATGCTGCGCTCTTCTTTCGCACGTGGGAATCGACCATGCGAGGTACAATCACTTTTTTAAAAACGAATGCAAAAAATTCTTTGCCTTGCGTCCCCTTCCCTTGGATCATCCCGTGCCTGCAGCAGGGGCGGCGGACTCGCGCGCCGCATCCTTGTTGCCGCTGTTGCTGCCCGACGCACCAGCCGCTGCGGCCTTACCACCACCACGACCACGCCTGGTCCGCTTATGGTGCTCCGGCTTCTCGGAGGGTGTGGTGTTGCTGTTAGATGCATTGGTCGTCGATGGTGCAGCAGAGCTGGAGCTTGCTGCTGCGGTATTGGCTGCGTTGCTGTTGTTGGAGTTATTGGCGTTCGAGTTCGAGTTAGAGGCGGCAGGCTTCTTCTCCTTGCGCTCAAGAACTTGGACTGTGCCCTGAGCAACCTGTATGGGGCTCGCGGCGACTGCCTTTACGAGACCGTCGTGGTCGGAGAAGTCAACGTAGGCAAAGCCCTTGCGCTTGTCGATTTCCACAAAGGTGACGGTGCCAAAAACCTCCATGGCTTGCTTGAGGAGTGCCTCAGTAACACCCTGCGATGGGTTTGCGTGCTTAACGAAGCCACGGGTCACGCCAGCGGTAACGGCCGCAGTGCTCTTCTTTGCGTTGCTGCCCTTTCCTGATGCTTTAGGACCGGTAGGGGCGTTGGACTTGGCATTTGCCGGCGCGGCGGCTGGCTGCGAAGCCGAGCTCGATGCTTCCTTGTCGGTCTTGGCAGCCTTTTCCTTATTCTTCTCCTCGTCCTTCTTCTTAAGCAAGATGACTGGGGCTTTGGCAGGTGGTGGAGCGCTAGAAGAGCCGCTCGCCTCGGTTGACTTGCCCTTTGGTTCATTGGCACTTGCATTCTTTCCACCACCGCCTCTTCTAGAACGACCCGACTTAGGTGCCGTAGGTGTGGCGTTTCTCTCTGATGTTTGTGAAGCGGCTGAGGATGCTGGAGCCGAAGCTGTGACAGGTGGCGGAGCAGCTGCTGGGGCTTCGACCACCGGTTGCGCTGGTTCCTTTGAAGAGGTTCCCTTCGAATCGGCCTCAGCTTTGGCAGCATCGAGTCGCGCCCTCCTATGGGCGCTTCCGGGACTGATGCCAAGGTCTCGCTGCAAGATGCGGGCAGCAGCCGCAATACCAGCTCGCCTGCTCTTGGGCTGATCCTGAGACGATGAAGAAGAGGCCTGCGTGATCTGGCTGGCGACAGCTTCTGCGGCCTTAACAGCGTCCGCAGTGGCCTTTTTGGTGAGGATTTTGACCGTCTCTTTGGGTTTATCGGCCGATTTGTCTCCCTTAGAGTCCTTCTTGCCCTTCTTTGAATCCTCCGCCGTCGATGCGGACGACTTGCCCTTGGTGCTGGAGTCCTGCCGAGCCTGCTTAGCGCTCTTAGCGGCGGCAGCCTCTTTCTGCTTGTTGGCCTTCTTCTCCTTGAGAAACTCAATCAACGGTGTCGTTGTGACCTTCGTTTCGGGCTTCGTTTCCTCGACATCCTTGTTCTCATTGCTCTCGTTGTCCTTGTCAATCTCAGGATTGGTCAAGGATTGTAGAAAGGCCATGAACTCGGGGTCCTGATCAATAGTTCCCTGCCTTGGGTCGGTGCGCTTCTTGCTGCTCGGGACTTTGTTGTATATCGCAAACTCGAGAACAGGCGGGCCGACTAGAGAAGCGCTATTGGATGTCATCTTTGCATCTTCCCAAGACTTGGCCTGAATCAGATTCGACAACGTGTTCAGGCTCTCGCGCTTAAGAACATGGAGATAGACTCGTCCTGGCCTCGATGGCTTCGCAGGGCTAAGCGCAAGAAGCATTAGCCACCAACCCTTGGACACATGGGAGCAAGCACGTACTCATGAGAGATCTTTCCAGCCTCAAAGTTGTGCCAGCTAACGAGGCCATTGCCAGCCTTCCATTCGTCGCCTAGGTTGTTCCATACTTCTTGCTCCGTCATGCCAGGGGGCAGTCTTCGAATAACAACCTTGTCGCCCTCGACGGGAGTCCTACTCTTATTGGACTTTGGCGCATCAGTAGTGGCCTGTTGACCGGAGACTTGAAGAACTCCATTTGTTTTTCGAGATGCGCCTTGCGCGCCAGAGGTTGCCATTGTGGAATCGGTGGCCTTGTATTCGTATGCTTGTGATCAATGCCTGATAGAGGGTGGCTACGCTGTTTTGTATGGTTATTGTTTCTTGTCTTGTGGCCTGGTGATAAGCTGTGCAAGAAACATTGGAAAACCTGTAGTGGAAGCGTTCTAAAAGACGAAGTCTGCTGCGCAAGGGTCCAAGAAGGTGTGTGCAAGACCTGGCTCAGATGTCTAAAGGTGATGTGATGGCAGGGTAGTGACGCGGGGCTTTGGGTTCACCTTACCTTCAGATCTGAAAGAATGGCTCACAACGAGCCACTCCCTCATGTGGGCCTTATCTTATCATATGCACTAGCCCTTTTTGGATAGCTCTGTCTGGGTGGGGCTCAAGGGCTGTCCTTCCACTCCTCACCTCACACAGCCCCACAAACTTCCACTCGGAAAAACCTCGGCAAAGATACAACCTCTCACAGAGCTCTTTCGGTGAAATAATATTCCGATACACCAAATATTCCGAGGTTCACCCAGCACCCACCAGCCATCAAGATGGCAGGTCAAGAGAAAGAAGGTGGTAACTCGAACATCAAGGACAAAGAAATCGAGGATATCGACGTCTACCCGGAGACCTTTCCGGATTTCAACCAGGCGAAAATAGCTTCACCTGCCCAAGCGACGGAAGGAAGTCATCCACGGGAAGCTACGACGAGTTCTGAGTACAGAGAGCCGACTGCGCAGGAGATTGAAGCCGCCATCCGTCGAGCGAATAGCTATCAGAACAATCCGCTTACCAACACTGTCAGACGGAGCAGACCGACTGGCGACCGTGCTCGCAACCGCAGCGCAGCCGTATCTTTCCAACTTCCGTCAGTTCCACCGGGCGCGACTCCCATCAACCTCGGAGCGCATCATCCTACCAGTCCCCAGCAAGTACCTGTTGCATCTGAACGTGCTACCCCAGCGTCCGTCCGCGGTCGTGGAATTCCTGTCCCTGGTCGTTCAGGCTACATCCCCACCCTCCCCCCTCTTAACAATCCGCCGCGCCGACAACTCAGAGACCCCAACTCAGGCCGTCCCGTTGTAGTTGGAGGTTTCGATAACCCGCTCGACGAGTACAACCAGCGAGTTCTGTGTCGCAAAGCCCACGACCAGCGGGCTCTCGAATCATTCTTGCAGAATTCATCACTCGAAAGCACCTGGAACTCACAGAACCCTCGTCCTCTACCAGAGCTCCCCCCTGCTAGCACTACCCAGCAGTCCACAGCAGCCGCACCCAACCGTGCTGCCCAGAATACCCCTCTGCTCCCCGCTCAGAACAGTGCTCCACCACACCCTTCGCCTTTGCAGTCACACCCGGTCGCCTTGAACCAGCAGGAGCCTTTTCCAACGCCCTCACGTCGCCGTGCCCGGTCTGCATCGTTCTCAACACCGTCGAACGCCTCTTCTCTCGCTTTCCCCGGCACGACTCAAAATCAACCTCCCCCTGAGACCATCCAGGAGGAGCCATCGACCGAAGACGAGGAACTCGATCGTTCTGAGGAGCCCGATATTCGCACCGCACAAATTGGTCGCTTCATTCAACAGTCCAACGATTCATCGCACGTTTCGCTTCGTGGCGGAAGTCTTGATCTCGACGATTTCCCAGAGGATTTCGATCCGAGCTACTACGAGTCTGACGATATCAACGACGACTTGGCAGTTTATTACACCGAATTCAATCCAAACATTTCCGAGGACTTCAACCCGTGCGACATCGAGGCAACATCTCAGGTGCACACCCAAATACTCGGCAAAATGGCGAGCCACATTCCCCGACCCGGCCCTGCCAAACTCTCCCCCAATGCGGGCTTAGACGAGTGGCTGGAGGAAGCCAAGCAGTGTCATTACTTGCCCGAGCGCGCCATGAAAGAGCTTTGCGAGCTTGTAAAGGAGGTGCTCATGGAGGGTGAGGAATACTATAATCCTCTCTTCTCTAACCTTTGCTGACTTGTGGAATCTAGAATCCAATATCCAGCCCGTGTGCACCCCGGTCACAATTTGCGGTGACATCCACGGTCAATTCTACGATCTGCTGGAGCTCTTCCGCGTTGCGGGCGGAATGCCTGGCGAGTCTAATGTGGAGGCCCCCAAGACTGCCACCACGGTCATCAACCCCGAAGACATTGAGCCCCCTACCGAGATTACGAACCCGAAGCTCAAGAAGAAGGTCCGCAATGCTGGCAGCCCTCCTGCTGATGAAGACGATGAGGACGACGCCGCGGCCGCTGATACCAGCGCGACTTCCCGAGCCGACTCCGCCGTTGAGGTCTCCACCACATCGCAGTCTGCCGACACCCGCTTCATCTTTTTGGGCGACTTTGTCGATCGTGGCTACTTCAGTCTGGAGACTTTCACTCTCCTCATGTGCTTGAAGGCCAAGTAGGTAGCTTTTGACGTCCGATGCACTATCATACTAATCATCCTTAGGTACCCTGACAGAATCGTTCTCGTTCGTGGCAACCATGAGTCCCGTCAAATCACCCAGGTGTACGGATTCTACGAGGAGTGTCAGCAAAAGTATGGCAACGCTTCCGTGTGGAAGGCGTGCTGCCATGTCTTCGACTTCCTTGTCCTCGCTGCCATCGTCGATGGAGAACTTCTCTGCGTCCATGGTGGTCTTAGTCCGGAGATCCGCACCATCGACCAGATCCGCGTTGTTGCCCGTGCGCAGGAGATCCCCCATGAAGGCGCTTTCTGCGATCTTGTTTGGTCCGACCCCGAAGACGTCGAGACTTGGGCTATCAGCCCTCGCGGCGCCGGCTGGCTCTTTGGCGACAAGGTTGCAACCGAGTTTAACCACGTGAACGGGCTTAAGCTCATCGCTAGAGCTCACCAGCTTGTCAACGAGGGCTACAAGGTCAGTTTTCATCATCAGCCCGCACTCATGTGTTTACGCTAACGCAAAACAGTATCACTTCCCGCAGAACTCTGTCGTCACCGTGTGGTCGGCTCCAAACTACTGCTACCGCTGCGGTAATGTTGCGTCCATCATGACCGTCGACAAGGATATGAACCCCAAGTTCAGCATTTTCTCGGCAGTCCCCGACGAACAGCGCCATGTCCCTGCTAACCGCCGCGGACCGGGCGACTACTTCCTCTGATCGGGCTCGCTGATCTGTATATCGGGGACGTAGCTGTGCTGGGGACGCATTTGGAACACCGTCGGGACTCATGTCCTGAGGTTTCAACGCGGTTCTTGCTGAAATTACGTCTCCAACAACTGGCCGCTCGGAACTAAGCGGCGAGGCTCCGAATATCACGATGAGCCTCACATTCGTCTCAGTACACAGAACCGTCATGGGAACTATACACCTGGATATCACTGTCGTGCATCGAAACGACGCACGATGATGAGAGATGGTTCTTCTTTTGCTGCAGACGGAACATTTTTGCTGTCAAGAGCAGCACACTTGAACGTGGCATAATCCACATCGGGATTTTTGCCTGACCCATTGCGTGGGTTATATCGTGATTTCTGGGCATGAGCACTGAGTACTTCGCGGAGCATAGCTTGCCTTTGGCTCGCTCGCATCCAAATACATGGGGAGTGACTCGCTCGTTTGCTCGGAACGATCACGAAGGAAAGGAAACGAGATTAGAACCCCGAAGCTGGCTCGGCCTCGAAGAACGCGGAGAAGGAACGTGGGGATGGGAGAGGACGGGCTGGCTACTTTTGACGTATTTGACGATGTCATGCATGGAATAGAGGGCAGGGGAAGACCTTCTTGTAGATTAGGCATAGAAATGTTCAATACCCATACATTCTGAAACCAGGAAAGCTGGATTACACGTTGGGTACTGTAGAATTTCTTCGTCCGTGCTAATGCAGGCAATTTGCTTTCATAATGATCAAAGGGCTTATGAATACCAGAGACCACGCGCCATGTACTTTTATCCCACATCCGCCCTACCGCATCGAACCCCATTGTCACACCAGACGCCATGCGATATACTAGGCTACTCCATAAACCGAACCCTCCCCAATTTCCTTCAAGCGCGCTTGACTTCCCACTTCAGATCCTTGATGCTCACTTCCTCTCCTGCCTTCTCATCGTAGTCATACCACTCGCCGTCCGTGAGTTCAATGGCAGAGAACTTGCTGTTTGAATCAATGCCCTCGGCGAGCCACTCGCCCTCGGGGATGAACTCGGTGAACTCGAGTCCACGGCAGTCGAACTCGAGAATCTTTTGCTGTTTCGCGGGCTCGCCTTGTTCATACGAAACCGGGGCGGCCTTTACGGAAGCGGAAGACTCGCGCTTGCAGTTCTTGCACTTCCAGACGAAGTTGGCCTCGCCTCTGCTGCCGCTCATTTCATTTTCGTCCTAGATCGAGTAGCAGATGAGCGGACTGTCCGAAAGCTTCATGCTAAGGGGATAAAACTTACAAAACGGTTGACGCCGACGGTCTTGTCATGAACTTCGCGACAGGATGTGCACTGGACTTTGAAAGTGTACCAGAAGGGGTTACCCTCGCTATCATCGGGGCGGAGATTTGTGACTCTGTGGAGAATAAGTGTTGTGTTCTGGGACCTCGGAACCATTCAAACTAACCCGTTGAGCTCGGCTGTGAGATAAAGGGCGAACATTGTGAGTTTGGCTTCCTTTCCGAGCGCAGTGCCTTTCAAGATGTGGTTGTTCGAGTCGTTTCTCGTACCCGGTGCTGATCGAGGGCCGCTCTAAAGTCATGGTGGGGTTACCTCATGGAGGGGCAGCGGCGTCGCTTCTATAAGCGGGTACACCTCTTAGTCGCAATACTCGTCTAATCGCATGATGCCTATCTACATTTTCAATTGGCCCTTGTCAATTGGACCCGTCATCTTGGCCAAGCTTAGTCGATCGTCAGTAATTGTGCATCAGACGATAATTTCCGCGCCCGGAACGTTTCGACCACTTTGACCATCCTCGACGCCTCGTCGCACCTCAACTCATCAATTCGACTCAGAGAGGCTGCCACAATAGCCGGCATGCCGTCAGAATGCAGGCAATCTGGTCTAGAGCGGGCCAGGCGCACCGATGCAGCTGCAAGGCCTGCTTTAATGCCTCCGGGGCCATGATGCGGCAGTCGGCGACGCGCGCGACGCATCGAAAACCGACATTCAGCGAGATGTTCACGGCTTGTTATACATCGATAATGGGAACGGCGGCAATGCTGGATGCAGAGAGGAAAGACAGGCGGCGAAAGGATTTGGACCAACAGATTGAACAGGTCTCGAACGAGTTGGCAAATCTTGTCGAAAAGGCACCAAAAATAACTCCCGAGAAACCACCTGCTGGGGATATTGGCAACCGATATCCCGGCGCTTTGAAAGATCACGTTCGACAAAATCCCGAAATCAGCAAGATTCTCGACGCCCTCGGTCCCTCGTATAGGTGGCAGAGAACTGTTGCGACAAAGGCCGACGTGGACCGTTTATGGACGATATACGAGCTAAGTCCTTCGAACGGAACCAGAAGGGTCGATCACGATGCCTTGATTAAGGAGCTCATGAGTGAAGAGACGATGGCTATCGAGCACCGTAAACCGCGGACGATTAGGCAAGCCAAGGCGGCAAGGGTGGCAACAAAAGCTTTGGTCTACAAATTCCTCGACGCAGGCGAATCTATGATTGGAAGCGCAGGAATGCGAACGGCGCGAGAAGAGGTAGACAAGCTGACGCAAAGGAAGTTCCCTATGTGGGACGAAAGCCAACTGAGCTCTGAGGCTCTGAACGCGTGCAGTTTGGAGCTGAACGAGGCATTGAGGAGTATTTTTGACACCTCGACTCCCCTCAACGTTCAACATACGATTTACAGTGTATGTCACAATCTCCTCGTATCGCCTCAAGCCCTCACCATCCACACATATAACCATCTTATTGCGGGCCTGGACAAAGTTGGGATGCATCGTCTTGCTTCAGCGGCGGTCCTTTCGTTCTTCCAGGGCAAGCTCGAGCCCACGCAGCATACCCTTGTGTGCATCCTGAATCACTACAGGACGATACAGGACGCAGACAACTTTTCGGATTTCATCGCTCGCATGACTGGCAAAGATGAGCGAGGTATCAAGATCCGGAGAAAGAAGCGCGAGGAAGTAGCGGAGCATTTCTACCTTCACGGATGGGCCAAAACGAAAGATGTCGCAATCGGCTCCCATTATGTCGTCGAAAGGGCGCGTTTCGATGAAAAAGTCTTCGCCGCCATCATCGAAGGCATGTTGGCTTTCGATAGACTGAGGGCTGCCGTGGGTGCATTTGCGGCGAGCATCACGGCCGACCTCACAATTAGCATGCGGACGATGTCCGAGCTACTCGATTGTTGCACCCGCTCCCTGGATCGCACAGCTGCAGCCAAGGTTCTGGAAGTACTGGAAACCAAACCCGAGCTGATCAGGCCAGCATTTCCTGGAAAGAACGACAAGCTATATCTTGCGCGGCGCATACGGAACTTACTGGATATTTGCGGCTTGGAACATAGGCTGCCAACCAGCGTAGCACCGTTCTTGAAAGAGCCCGCATTCTCGATTGTATCAAGCGAGGAGCAGAAACGTGTATTTCACATCGCACGAATAGCCCACACCGTATACCAAACGGAGTGGTTATTGAACAGTGCGCGCGACTACCTTCGGCGCGTGAAAACGGGTACCGCTGGTACTGTTCGCATTAATTCGGGCTCTCCGCAGATGTACAGGATGTGGAGAGCGACAAAATTGGTCTGGCCAGTGCCCGAGGGTCTGCCGGAGAACCAGCCCGTGACGTCTTTCTCGCTTGAGGATAACGTCGACTGGTCTGCTTGGGATCGCCTGGAGGAAGCGTCAGAGACACAGCTGGCGCAGAAAAGCATGGGTAAAAGCAACACTCAAAGCGATTCCCTTTCAGAGAATCAGGGGCAATCATCCGCGTGGGATCGCCTTGAAGAGGCGACGGAGACGAAACCGAAAAAGACGAAGTACGAGAACAAAACCAAAATCAATGAGGTTTTTGAAACGATCGAGATTCTGTAGATATGTACTATACCACACATGTAACATTATGGTTATATGGCACGTATATGCCAAGGCCAAATTGATGGATAGAATAGAGGGCCAAGGCCAGAGCCAGCCATCAGATGCCCCTTATAGTGGGGGCTCGTAGACATCAGAATACCAAGCAATTCAAACAAGGACCAGCAGACTGTATCATTGATACAAATCAGGTTCCTCTACTGTGTAAGTTAGGTTCTGGTCGATCCGCTTCCGTTGGTTTCAAGATAGCAAGGTGCTATTCTAGATAAGAATTTACCGCGGGATTCAACCCCCATGCTTGCTTTTCTTCTTCAACCCTGCTTCATTGACTTATACATGTCTACCTGCTACCTACCTCCCCTCTCAACTGCTTCTTCTCTTCACATTCTTAGAATTATAGGCACGAAGTATACTTAAGCGTTTGATACTTATCCCTCATGGATGAATCAAAAGTTGAAGAGTATAAGCTGGTTCCCAAGGACCCGGAACTAAACCCCGCCGGCCTGCAGCCCCGCAACTACTTCGTCTGCCACACCCGCGCCAACATCTCCCGCTGCACGGTGTGTAAAGTCACGTACTACTGCGGCCCCGCGCACCAGGCCGCGGGCAGGAAGCGTCACAAGCTCGCCTGCACCAACATCATGCGGGCCAGGGAGGCGTATGAGCTGGCCGAGATCGACTGGCGGAATTCGACGGAGCCGGTGTACTTTGAGGACCAGGCGATTGTCGTCTTTCCGGAGCTGGAGACCGAGCGGGACTACCTGATCGCGCACGACAGGTACAGCAAGACGCTGCAGCTGGAGCACACCGTCGACGCGGTGCAGCACTCGCTGGCGGAGCGGTTCGGCATACTGGAGCTTGACCATCGTGGCGTCTACGAGGCGCGGGAGTATATGCCGCTTGGGTTGATGAGGTTGGGCCGGGGACCAGGATGCGTATGATGTTGCGAAGTGGTGGACGCTGCGTGACGGTGGGGTTGATCCGCGGCAAGAAAGGATGAAGCGGTATAGGGAGGATGTGTTTGAGTCCCCCTTCGAGATCATGAGGAGCAAGAACGTGCTGTTTGGGACGTTGGATGGGCTGCTGCTGCTCAAGATCGAGCTGTACCTGGACCTCCGGGACATTTGCAACGCGGACAGGATGCTGAGAAAGGTGGTTGTCCGCGACAAGGGTAAGGGCGCCGGCGCTGCGAGGTTGCTCCCGTCCGAGGTGATTGACACGATCAAGCGGTACAATATCCGGTCGCACATCATCCGGGAGCGGCGCGACCTGGTGGAGAATCACGGGTTCGTGGCGTCGCCGCTGGTGTGCGGGCGCAAGAAGCAGATCCGGGAACTGGCGCGGGCGGTGTACGACAACCCCGAGTACACTGGCGAGGAGATGGAGGTCAAGTATATTTACGCGCGGCCGTCGTGGGTTGAGATGCCGGAGGCGGCGCAGATCTTGGATGATGCTCAGGAGGGCATTGCGATGATGGCTGAGACGAACCCGTACTGGGCTCGTCGGATACCGCTAGATGATGATGATGATTCGGATTAGTTTGTGCATGGTGAGGTAGAATAGTCATTCGGTATTGTATTCTTGGTGCCGCCTGTTGTTTACTCTCTCATTCCCTGCGGCTCAAAGCATCAAATTCCCCGGCCGCTACTATTGCTGTGCCTGGACAGCTGAGACCCAAGTACCACAGCTGAACCATGGAAGCCTCGAAAAGGGAAGTTTGAAGGCATGCCAAGAAATGAGATCGTACCATGCCAGTCGCAAGTCTTTGACACTGCGCGGGAAGAGGGTTGCGGCCCCGAGCGTTTGGCAAACTGGGATTGACTTTGTTGGGGTAGTCACGAGTGATATCATTGTAATATAATTCGAGGCGGGGGGAGAAGAACGAAATTTGGATGTAGACACGACACGTGAAGCAAGCTTTTTTGGATCTGACTTTGGGTGACAGTTATAAGGGGGGATACTATCGGGTAAGAAGAGGCTTCAAGTAAAAGTATATTTACCTCATTTGGAGGTTGGTTGATGCTACTGATTCGCCAAGTTGTATGCGTAGAGGTTTCGTCAGAGGGACGAACATGAAAGCAAAAGACCAACTATAAGAGTTTAGGAGAGGTTTTAAGCCGCAAGTGTGGGAAAAGAATCCCAAGAACTGGAGAGTCTTCATTAGTTAGGGGTGGGCGTGGAAGGGATCCCATTTGCCTGTTGCGCTACTCTTTTGGGAGGAAAGTTGTCAGCTCTTGATTCACGTAAAAAGGCTGAAGACTCTTCCCCAGATTGGTCACCCCGTCGCAAAGCTAAAGCGTATGAACTGATTAGTATCCGTACGAATAGTCAAGTATGACATTCTTCCCCCATGGATCGCCGTTGGACCCCTGCTGATCAGTCGTCACTCGAGTTCCATCGGCATTATATTGGGCCATTGACAAGTTTGGCTAGTCAGCAGTAAAGTGACTAGCAGCTCCGTGAGGGCCGAATCTGCATCAAGCAAGAGGCCACCAATTCCTCTCATTATCAATCAATATTCGCAGACTGTAGAGGATTGGATGCCGGGATGCCGAGGTCTTTTGCCTTGACCAAAGTGACCAGGTGACAGGACCCCTAAAAAAAAAAAAAAAACTTGGAACATGCATCGCGGAACCAGATCTGAGTGGGGTCTGGTGTAGGTCATTCCTGGGGCCGCGATGAATTTGGACCAGTCACTTGTATGTGCAAGAGTCAGGACTCAAGGGGTACCCGTACAAGGTACGCAGTAGAGGCGCGCGCAGAGGTATGGACATTTGAATGCTAGGTATGTTTAGAATCATGCAGGTGCCTTTTTCTTCTTCCAACGGCGGCCAAAACGTGCATTTTGGCCGGACAGAGCCCGATGTCGGTTTCAGGGTCCTTCCCGCCCTCGGCGAGTCCTCCGGGGGTGGAAAAGGTCATGAGGACGGACAACCTGACAAGCCTGCGAGGCGGTCTAGAATTTTTAGACAGCCCATCTGACCCGGCGTGCCGGGAGGGCTGCTCGAATGTGAGATGAGATGTGTCCCGGGACGCGGCCCCGACTCGCCTCAGGCCCTTCAGCCCAGTGAGCCTCTACCTCACCTTACGGAGAGGTGGGAACGCTGTGCGCGGTGCAGGGCACTAAAGTGATTAGAATTGGGTTATGAGAAACTAGTGAACGGTATAGGCTCACTTGCGGTGCACCACCACTGGCCGGTAGACGGTAGACCGGCGCGGGATAGGGCATGCACGTGTAATCCGATCAATTGAGCCAGCAACGTCAGCATGCAACTCTTTTCATCGCTCTCGTTCACTTGTGACGACCACTGACGGGAGCATTCAATGGAGGCATTAGGAGAGGAAGGGAAAAAGGACGGGATAGCCAGCGTTGGTGCTACATCAACGGCGGGGTGATCATGGACAGGCCGGCCAGCTGAAGCCATAGTGGGGCGGTCATCCCGTGACTTGGCGAATCAAACAGGGGCGGCGCTCCACGGGCGGTCAACGGCGGCTTCCAAGTGGCTAGCTTCACCGACCGGATAACGCCACACCTCAAGCTGTTTTTGGGATACTCTCCAGTGAACACTGTGTTTTTCTCATTTCGAGGGCAGGAACCTTAGGCTTTTTGCTGGGTTGCTACTGCCATTTGCTGTGCCTGCGTGCCTGCGTGCCTGCCGTCACGTTCAGAAGCGACTGGTGCTGGGTGGTGGAAGGTGGTGGTTTGGGTGTCTCAGGTACCTCCCGACCGTGTCTCGAGTCGTCGCGCCGGGACCTAGCAGTACCCTACACAGCGTGAATTGGCGTGTGGGGTACTTGACGACCGACAAAGAGGTACGGCGTGCCAAGGCTTTGGATACCTTGCGGCCGCTGTGGAGGTTGAGATGAGCTCACACCTCCCACACCTCTTCTTTTCTCTCTCCTGGTGTCCTGCTACTGCAGTAAAGTGCGTATGCTAAGGTACCAGAAGTACTGTTGCATGCTTCCGTCACTTGTCAATCCACTCTCCTTGCACCGGTCGGTCTGAAGTTCTGGTTCATTCATTCATACATAATCCCCCTCCAACCCACCGATGCTCTCCTGAAGGGGGGGACCCGGATCTCGTTCCTCACTCTTCTTCTCTTTGAATTCTGTAGAGGTGTATTCGGTAAGCCAGTCATTGGACAAATACCAAATACCGTACGGATACGCCCATCTCAGTCACTGCTTCTCCGCCTTTTTTCAGTCAATGGCGAGCTGGATGTGGAGCTCCTTGAACCTGGAAAAACCAACGGGACTCTCGTGACTGACTGAGCGACCTCGAATTCTGGATCCTCTCTTTTTTTGCCGCAACAAAGAAGAAGCGGATAGTGCCTTCTGTATCTCGAGTTCTCTCCGGTACACCGACTTGGATTTGTTTCTTCTTCACGTTTTTGGCAGCTTTCTCCAACTTACCTCATTCACCACCTCACCTCACCTCACCTCACCTCTTACAACAAACCTCCGACCGTCATAAACTTATCCCCCAGTCAAAATCACGACCACCTACGAGAACTGCGAAAAAGGGAAAATGTTTGATTGCGGTTGCGAGTCTATCTGCCTCTAAGCAGCCGTTCAGCATCCTCATTTACTCTTGCCGTCTTATTTTCTCGTCAGCACCTTATCTGTTACTGCAGCATTCCATCTTTCAAAGCTGTATCGCCTAGACAGTATCACTACCAGCCGACGCCACAGCGTCACATCCAATCCCTGATAACGGACTCAGACATCATTTCACCATGAAGTTCGGCAGAAAGTGCGTCTTCCTTCCCATCCCTCTCTCCCTCCCCCTTGCCGCTTCACCCGACAGAAACCGATATCTCTGCTATTTTTGGCCTTGCCTTTACTTACCTGACCGCCTTCTGATTTCATGGAAAAACATGCTTACGCTGTCTGCAGTCTCCCCCGCAACCAAGTCCCCGAGTGGGCGGCCTTCTACATCAATTACAAGGGCCTGAAGAAATTGATCAAGGCCGCGGCGCAATCGGCCAAGAACGGAGAGACGGTGGATCTTGCAGGTGGGCGGACTTGGACCGGACCGTGAGGGCGCAGCCCATCCCCTGACCACATCTTGCAGAATTCTTCTTTGCCCTGGATCGTAATCTCGAAGACGTCGACTCTTTCTACAATCGCAAGCTTGGCGAGGCCGTCCGCCGTCTCAGTCTGTTGCGCGACCGCTATGGCCGCGTCCCCGACGTCGTCTCCAACCTCGATGAGGATGAGACCGAGGAGCTCATGGGCGCTCTCTACGAGATGCGCATCATGCTGAGAAACCTCAATTGGTTCGCCGAGATCAACCGCAGAGGCTTCGTCAAAATCACAAAGAAGCTCGACAAGAAGCTCCCCGAGACGGCTTCCCAGCACCGCTACATCTCGACAAAAGTCGACCCCTTGCCTTTTGCTAAGGACACAACGAGCACGCGCCTCCTCACTGAGATTAACAAATGGATCTCCGCCCTTGGTGACGCCCGCAACGTTGACGACTCCAAGTCGGACAGGTCAGTGCGGTCGCTGGGCCGCGCATCTTCCAAGGCCATGTTGACTTTGTCGCAAAACCTACTCGACACCTTGGAGCAGGCCATCCGCAGCGACAATGTCGACTCACTCAAGGCCGGACTGGACGAGGGCAACGTGACTGGTGAGCAGTCTTCTCAAAGCTTGCTCCTCAACCTTCTGCAGCGTTCCATTGCTGCGAGGTCCAAGGCGAGCATTGCCTATCTTATCGATCAGCTGCCGTCCATTTACGAGCCCGAGGACATCAACCACCGCAACTGCATTCACCGACTTGTCATCCACATTGGCAGGACCAAGTCGTCTGATCCCGACAATGAGCCCAAATCGTATCCTTTCCCGATCGGCACTCAGTTCACTTCTCACGATCTCCAGCCAGCAGTCTCGCAGGCTGTGGTTCCCCGCGCACTCAATCAGAACGAGACGAAGCTACTAGGCAAGGACGATGAGGCTGTTCAGATTCTCATGTACCTCCTCGACACTCTCAAGCCCGAGCACAGAGACGCGCTTAGCGCCAGAGATTCCTTTGGACGTTTGCCGCTTCATTATGCTGCCCGATTCGGCTTCGTCGTCGTATGCCAGATCATCATGGCCAATATGCAGGAATGGGGTCAATTCAACGTTGAGAATGGCATCGATGCCCCCGAATGGCAGGATAACGAAGGATATGCTCCTTTGCACCTGAGTGTCGTGGGTGGACATCCATTGACCACCAAAGCCCTTCTTCAGGGCGAAAACTGGAAGGGTGTGAGTGTCAGGAAGGCCGAGATGAGACGAACGGTGTCCAAATCCGGTGCGGTTCTCGCTATGGCCACCAAGTCCAACTACAAGGTCATCGTCGAGATGCTCGTTGAAGCTGGGGTCGACATCAACTGGCAAGACAAGACGGGTGAAACCGCTCTGCACCTTGCCGCCCGATTCGGCCACGATGAAATTGCAAAGTCGCTGATTACCGGCACCGAGGAGCAGAAAGCCGACCTCGAAGTCGCAGAGAACACTTACGCCTGGACACCACTCCATGTCGCCGCTGT